CACAGAAATCGTTGTAAAGAGGAAATTAACAAATTACCTGACAGTAGACGCAAACATCTTTAAAAAGTGGAAAGAGGCTAAAAATTACATTTTGCTTTGTATATGACTGATCAGCCCTGCTTTTTTGCACAAATTGTATTAATTGAATGGTGCAGATTATTTTTCCCAGTAAAAAGCCAAGGAAAATAACTTGATAATTGAGCCCACAATAAGCTTGCAATAATAATAGTGTTCTAGTGTTGCAGCAGTCTGATAGAACCATTGACGTGGACTTAAGGAGAGGGAAAGAGGGTATGCCAACTCAGCTATGATCGTCCTGGAAGCAGTTAAAACTTTATAAGGTAAATCACAAACGAGAACAATGCCTGTTCCAACTGAAAACACTAGAATCTTGCTGCCGCTCATTAACCACAAGGGAGCTGTCAGAATACCCTAAGAGAATTTTGATTTTTGTATTCTCTGAGGGGCACTCATTCTTCTAGACTTTATTTCTTCAAAATATACATCAGGTACTAGATAATCTCTTATCGACAAATTTCTTTTTATTCAGAGTGAACAGCAGACTTCTCTTATTCTCCTTACTAAATACCAGCTGTCAAGGGCCTGTTTAAAAATAAAAGGACTTATCACCTTGTGTAAATGACAAGATTAATAATGTCTTGAGTTTCTGAGAACTTTACTCCACTTGTAGACCATGTTAGGGCAGGACAGGAGTTTGAATGAAATCATGTTCCTTCCTATGATGCAGAATACATACACATACATATATAAAGGGTTACTCCAAAGCACATGCTTAGAAACTATGAGCGGAAAGACAGGTATTGCTTAAGTCTAAATAATCAACTTACATGAATTGTACCTAAGGGGCCTGTCTGATTACTACCAATATAGTTTCACCATGAAGAAGTATTAAAGGAAAACTATTGTGTCTAGAGACCGAAACACAACTTGTGAGCACAGTCAAAGACGAGAACTGGCATTGTTTGAGGTGGATTCTTGCCTTTGACCTAGTTGAAGGGTACAGAAGTATGGGGTTAAGAGGAGACTAATCCAAGGAAGGAGGGAAAGGTGGGAGCAGAGTGAGACCAAATCTAAAGCAACGTGCTATCTCTACCAATCAAAATGTTTTGTAAGACGTCTACAAGATTCAAAGGAAAGGACATCAAAATATCCAGACTAAATAACAATAATAAAATTAAAAAACCTCAGCAAATCATTTAGATGTTTGGTCTACTTGACATTAAACACATGGGTATTTCTAGATGCCAATGAAAGCTCTGAATAGTTAATAAACCATTTTTATGCTTCCTCTTAGTATCTGGTCCTCTTAGCGATCTGGCCTGGAAGGGGCTTTGGTCATCTAACTCTTTGCTTTCCTCCTGCCCTGCTCTACCTCTCAGTGCCAGCTTTTGTTCTTGAAAGTAACCAGGGACAACTTGAGATTGTTAAAATGTAAAAATATTTAAGCACTGTTTGGGTTCAGTAAAATGTCACTGTGCCCGAGCACTATAACTATGTGGCACTGTATAGACTCTTAAAGGAAGAAGGGGGAAAAAATAATAATTAGGACATTAAGGATAAAGAGCCTTGGGTGTTTTTCATGGCTCTACTATTTTATCACTTGAGTGTGATTGTGGTCTTAATTTACTAGTGTCTTTGGTGTGGCCTTCTTTTATAAAGATAAATTACTACGGTTAATACAATATTTTCAGAGGGGAATAAGGATATCAGTCAGAAGCCGCAGCAACTCAGAAATTATGGTTTAGGTGTGAGTGATCCAGTGTTTTCAGAATTTCTATCTCCAAAAATATCAGTGTAATAATTCTGAAAAAAAAAAAAAAACAAATGAAAAGGATGTCTAAAAACAATAACTCAAATTTTTCTAGGCAGTATTGTCAAGAAAGCTGCCACAAAGCTTGTTCTGGTCTGAAAGGAAAGAAAAAAAAACTAAAATACGTCTTAGAAGTCCATTGGAAAATTTAAGTTCAGAAAAATCCCCTCAAGTAAAATACTGCAGAAATGTATTAGGCAAATGTTGAGTGGCCTTTATGTTTACAATACAAAAGAGGAGATTATAGACTTCATCAACTTTATTTGAAAACTGAAAACCATGCTATTTCTAAATACTTCTCCCCCACCAAATAAATCATTATTAGTTTTTATCCAGCATACATGTTTTGACTCTGCCTTGCTATTATCAAACTGTTTATCATCTTAACAAGCACTTATTCTCTTTCAAAGATCTCCATATCATTTTAAAAACTGATCCAAATTGATTAAACTTGATCTTGAACATCAGAATTTTAAAATATATGTTTGCAAGTTCAAATTGTAATATACACTCTTGTTGCGTTTTTTGTGTGTTGTTTTGTTTTATTTTTTAGTAATCCTTTCCCTTCTCTGTTAGATGTCCTAATTATTATAATGATTAGATTGTACTTGAGAGATTCATCTGAAATTCTTTGTTTTTATTGGCTAGGATTTACACCTGCACTGTTATTGAAATTCATTTTCTAAAGTTGAGTTTAATCTAAGAATCAGAGCAGAGAGAAACACTTTTTACAATTTCTTGTAGCCTGCTACATTGACTTTTTGTGTTGTACAGGTGAGTTGAAGTCGTTAATGTTTAATAATTACACCTGATCCAGGGCCTCTCTTTTTGTCTGGTTATTAAGTAATATCTCCCACAATGGTATGTTCATTATGTGATGAGTTGTACTTATTTCACCATTGGCAGCTTCTATTCCTCATGGAAAAGAGAATGAAACAACAGACCCAGAGAATCTCTTTAGCCAGCTCTTTTATCATTGTACCTAGTCCAACATTGACATTTCAAAGCTGTCTAGAATTGCTAGTCTTAATTGGCTTTTAGAAATATGCATATGGGTTTATATAGGTATATGTTTATAATACATGCAGACACTACTTGGGTATGTGTTCTCCTTTGTCTTGTCTGCTGGGCTTAGTGTGATTTTATGCATACATTCTTATCACCCAAATGTGACTTTTACCTCTGACTTTGCCTTCTCTTGTCGTTTATGGGTGAACTTACTTAACCATGTAATGTCAATTTCACAATTATGTCATTTGATATGCACTCTGTTACCATCTTAGATTTCTGCCAGCATAACACATAAGTTTAAAATGAGTACTTACAGAAATGATAGGTATGTGCCTAATATTGGCCTTAAGTGTTTTTCTGATTAACTATTTTGCCTGATTCTACAGATAAAATAAGTAAACATGCTATTCATTAAGGAATGAACCAGCATGTTTTCTTTGGAAAACAATGCATTTTACAATGTCTATTTCAGATGTAACCATGGTATAATTATAAATGTCTACTCTAATAAACAATGTAATTCATAGTTAGGAACAGCAAAAATAGTTTCCCTTTTGTAATGCAATCAGGAATCCCAATGACAACAGTTATTTATTATAAAGTATTAGATACATAAATGTTAAGTGAGACATATGTTGGCTACCGATCCCATGCTTAAATCATCCTTTCACTGTATCTATCTAAGGGAATACCTTTTATTGTCAGTAAATATGGATAGCAAAAAGTTATTATGCTGTAATTATATTATTTCATCTGAAAGCTGCCTTTTGAGATCCTTCAGTTCCTGATTTAGGAAACATAACATGAATTCCCTCACTTGTAACACCTATGTATTTCCCACATCTACAAATAGCAAGTGCTCAAAAAATGCTTGTTGTTGATGATGACAGTAACTCACATGAGGGACTTGGGAAAATTTCTGCTCACAATCAATAGCTAATTTAATAATGTTTTCCTTTGTCAATAGTGCCTCTTGTTTTCATAAGGCAAAGGGAAAAAACAATTGACTTGTTTATTATTTTGATATATATTGAAGATTTTTAAATGGTTCCCATTTAAACCGAATTTTACAATTTACTGCCTCTTATACAGGTTAGCCAGCAAACATTATCTGGTAGCTGGTAAAATGCCAAAGAATAATCTCGTAACGATGATTGAAATAGAGTCGAAGACCATATGACACTAGCGTTACTTAACAGTTTTCAATTGGAAACATCTAATTTAAACTTTTTTTTTTTTTTTTAGTGATGATTTTCATAGTAGATTTTCCAAGCAACCATTTCAGTATGGTCTTTGAAACACATTTGATTTAGGTAACCATTGGGTTAAAAGAAATAAATAATGATCACATAATTAAATTTCAGCCTAATGATGTTAATCAAACAAAGATTAACTGCCTGAACTTTGTGTTGTTTCAGGTATTGTCATACTAAGTTACAAGATTCATAACCTATAACTTGATTGAGCGCAAAATACGTTTCATGATATTTTCATGATCTTTATATCATAGTTATTGTTAGTAAAGTCAACCTCACCTGGTCCTCCACAATGTCACAAAGCAATATCCACAGTGCTGTTTTTTAACTTTTTTACATATTCCAAGAAATTGAGCATTTTGATTATGCTAAAAATAAGTGTTCCTCATTTTTGTAAAATTATGCAAAACAATAAAAAAGGCATAAGCAGGTAAATCTGCACCTATGTCATACATATATATCTACTTACTATTTTACGTTAAGACTATGTAAAAGTTGAAGTGTATCACTTTCAATTTCTGCATAAATTCACTAACTGTTCTTGATTACTCAGTACTTTCTACCAGTGCCTCCACATTATGACGGTAAAAAGAAAATTGTGACGAACAGCAAGCAATAGGTAAGTACTCATTTTTTAACTCATTCAATCACACTCAGAAAACTAAAGTATTTATGAAGGATGCTAGTACAAAGTGAATAAATTACTCAAAGAAAGTAGTACTGAAAGAAAGGAGTCCTGAAAATGACGTTATTCTGCATCTTACTTATATTTGTCCATTACCTTTCCCATATCAACAAACAGGCCACAAGGGTCTCCTGCGGCTCACTGTTATTTTTATTCTTCAGGCTTCACTGATACTTTAGTGCTCTCAGAGAAAGGCAAGAAAATCTTTACAACATACCTGATCATTTATCTGGCATGCAACGAGGTTGTGCTGATCATAACAGCCAGCGAACCTGATGTACTTGAGCCAGCTTCCTACATCTGGTTGACTGGCATCTATGTAGAACTTCACATTGCAAAACTCATCTAAGATCTGAAAGGAAGAATATGAGAACAATCAATTTACATAATGGTCCATTCATTAAAATGGTTAACTGCTTGAAAATGTTTCATTCAAATGTATATTCTGCCTTTGAATCCTTAAAAGAAAAAAAAGCCAGACAGCATGCATATTAACAAAGGAGGAATAATAGTAAGTTATCTTAGAAATGACAATGTATTTTTTTTTTAAAGAAACAAAGCAATTTTAAATTATTACTAAAACAGATGAATTGGTTTCAATAAAGCTTGTTTTCTTGTTATGCATGAATGTTATGCATAGCTTAATAATTTTATCCAATGTAATATTTACAGAAAAAAACATGGAGCAGCACATATTAACATACTTCTAAAATAAATAGTCAATATTTTAGGCTCAGATAGTTTCACAATATAAATGTATATTTTCACCTTAAATTAATTCAATTGAAAAATTTTAATATAAATATTCTCTCCATAGTTTATATTTCACCACCATGAAACAAATCATACCCTTAACTGAAAGAGATAATAAGATTTGTCTAGTGGATGCTTCTGCCCAAACTAAAGGAAAACATATGAAAATAAACGACTGGTAAACACTCAGGCAACGTATGGCAAGTTAATGACTTAGCTAACACATACCAATGCAAATTTCAATTTTACGTTTAGTAAGCAAAATGAAACTGCTTTTGAACAAGTAAAAAACATGTAAGAATACTGCAATAAATTAACAGTCATTATATATGGATGTGTATTGTTATTTCTCAGGAGATTTTACATTTGGCCTACCCTTCACTTAGTACACCTATTAAACAAAAACTGAAGTGGAAAACGTCCATTTCTAAGGTTTTGCGGACTTACACCAAGCTATTTTGATTCACTAGCAGCAATAATGCCTTAAACATATGAAAAGTTGTAGAGTTGTTGTCCTGATGGTGAACAACTAGAAAGGCTGGTAATTTTACATCAATCTGTTAATGCAAACTTGAGGAAGTTTCCAATCAAAGACTAAACAATACAGTCTAGAACAAAAATTAATGAATTAAGTAGCCCCTAGAGAACTCTACTGTATCTAAACCTGTATAAAAGTTAAAACTAAAATCTTGGGTATACAGACCAAAAGCAATTTTGCATAGAATCCATGCAATCATCCAGTTGCGGATTCAAGTCATTAACTCACCACAAACTTCAAGAAGAACTCCAGTGCTCTGAGGGCACGAGTCAAGAGGCTCTATGAATAAGCCTTTGGCCATGAGGCAATTAAAGCGCAGAGAGTAGTCCCATAATTTTAAAAAAGAAAAATCTAAACAGAAAATAGGAATAGTAATTGCTACATACATACACAACACAAACACACAATCAAAGCCTTCTTTTTCAAGGACCCCTCTTCACACTAACAACAATAACAAAAAAAGTCCACCCTCAAATACCTTCTCTACTGCAAAGAACAGATTTTTAACAAGTTCTTGTTTATAAAATTGCAAACGTTAAGATGTTTTTTTCTACTCTCGATGCTAAATAACTCAAATGGCAACTTAAGGTTTTTCTCCCTCCCCTGGTAGCTAAAGGGTACATAAACAACAATAGCAATACACATTTTAAAACAGTAAAAGTCGTACGTTGTTGATTTTTTTGTTTGTTTGGTTTCTGTTTTTGATCTTTTGTTGTTTGTTTTCTTGACTAGCCAAAAAAAAAAAAAAAAAAAGGGCAGCTTTACTGACACAGCAGAGAAATGTTTAATGACGGAAATAGGGTGAAGTCAGTGAAACGCACCACCAGTTCCATTTCATATTTGCAGAAAGTCGTGGCAAACGTGTTAATTTCAAAGTCAAGAAGCATCGATCCCCTTAGCTTTCAAACATTCCCTTTTGCGGGGTCAGGGAGTTAAGGATTACATATACTGCACATAAAAATTCTAGGTGTAATTTTATTTCGTGTTAACATTATTGCTATTGCCACTGTCAACAGTGAAATTATTTTTTTAAGTTTCATTTCCAAAGAATGTCTTTTTACATATCTGTTACATGATTATTCAAATATTTCACCAACATATCAACTTTCTTACTCTCAACAGTCTTGCTCCAAGACAAAAGTCTAACTTTCTCCAGAAAAGTCCCCCACCCCCACCGGGTGAATTATTCACTTTTGATTTGCTAGCAGAACTACATTTGTCTCCCAAATGTCTTAATCATCTCGGAAATCTTGAATAAAGTAACAACACATCTTCAGTCATTTTATCTAACACACTCCTGTGTTTTTAAAAGCTGTCAAGCTCCTAAGATAGCTTAAAAAAAAAAAAAGAGAAAAAAATCCTATAGCTGGACTTTAGAGAAAGGCCCTTTCAAAAAACCAACAGCAAAAGAGAGAGAGAGGAAAAAAAAAAAAAAAATCCCCACAATCTAGCCAAAGGGTCCGTATGTGACTTTCTCGCGAAGCAGCACACGATGTTGGACAGCAAAGCTGTTACTTGGCAAGGTGGAACTCGGCCGAAAGCTGCTCCAAAGTCGCGTGGCCGGTGCCAGGAATTGAGATTTTGGCAACCCCACCTTCTGCGTCCCTGATACAGGCGGACAGACACACCGAGGGAGGGGAAGCAGGAGAGGAGCGGGAGGAAAAGAGGCCGACAGCCGGCAGAGACCCACCGAAGGCCGGACGACCCACCCCAGAGACGCGTCCAGACCGCACCGTTCCACAGGAGGAACAAGGAAATCGCCAGTCTTAGCAACGTAGATAAGCAGCAGGGCTCCGCGGGGCTGCGGGCAAGGAGGAAAAGAAGGCTGGGGGTGGGGTGGGGGGGAAGGGGTGCCAAGGCAGGAAACTGTCCGAAGTTACAAAACTATGCACATCGCCAAGACTTTTTTTTTTTTTAAAAGTGAGTTCTCTTACCTTAATATTTCTATGGCCTCAACTCAGCAATAAAGGGCAATCACAGAAGAACTTAAACAAACAAAATAAAGAATCAGCAGACCCCAGCTCTCCTGATCGTAAATCCTTTCAAACCATCCCGAGCAACATTTCGAGATGTAAAAAAGCCTCGCGTCTCGATTTCCAAATGGGTCTCTGATAACTTTGTCCGTCTCTAGGATCTGCTCGCCGGGACCACGCGTTTCAGATTTATTGTCCGCCAACAGTGTATTTTTAAGACCAGAAATGAAATCTCCTCTCGTCTGGGTGACCCGAGTTTGGTGTGTTTTGGCTTTTTTTCCCCCTCCTAAATGAGCTCGAAGCTATTCCTTGTGGTTCACATCACCTCCCTCTTTTCTCACTTTCTCTTGCTCTTATCAGCCCGATGTGTCATGAAAGTTATCTGAAACCCACTAAAACTTCTTCCACTTCTCTCTCCCAGTTCCAAGGAGTGGAAAACAGGCAGGAGGAGGAGGGTTTGTAAAGGTGGGGGACCTGGGGAGGCGAGAGGAGCTCTAACTCCCTTTCAGATCCTCCGCAGCGCCTTCCCCGGTCCTAGACCCTCACGGGATCGTCCCCTTTCGCAACTCCAAGCTCAGCTGCCGGGTTTCTATTTCATGAACTGTCTCTTTAAAGAGGATCTGCTCGGCCATCCAGAAAGAACCCGGGGCGAGGGAGAAAGGGAGCTATCTTCTGCCGCACAGAGTGATCGGAAGCCAGACGGGCTCCTCTTTCAGTATATTTTTAAAGTGACAGCAGCCTCCTTTGGCGGGAGAGGTCACAAAAAGGTCGCCAAGACCCAAGTCCTATAGGAACAGACTGATTATGGATGCACCATCCCCCTTAAACATGTAGATTTCTCCGAGTAAACAACCAATAAGGAGATCTCGCCAGGCAGGATTTCTTTCCCCAGGGAATTATCTTCTGTTTCGATATTCTGAAAGCACAAGTGGAAGTGTGTGTGTGTGTGTCTGTGTGTCTGCGCGCGCGCGCGCGTGCGTGTGTTGGGGGATGGGGAGGGATGGGGTGAAAAAGTGCTTTCAGGGATGTGAGGGTGTTTGCGCTGAAGAGGGGGTGGAGGGAGCGAAGATGGGGCTGAGGGTAGAGAGACGCTGGCTCCTACTAAGCATAATTATATTAGAAATTCTCAGAAAACAGCAGCCTAAAGAGTGAAAAGTTGACAAGTACATTTCCAGTTTTCTGCTGAGCATCTTTTTTTTTTTTAATTGAAACTCGTACTGTAATTTATTCCCTCCATTATTATAGTTTAGGTGAACAGAAGAAGATGCTAAATTTTCAAACCTTGTATTCTTAAAAGGAGGAACTTGGAAATCTGAAACTTTATTTGCATATAACCTGCCCAAATAATGTATTCTGGCTTTAGAGAGATTGATGACTGTCTGGTGAGTTTTTGCTATTTTCTTTGACATTAATTAAAACACCATGAACGCCCCAAAGTGGAAGTAAGCAATTTGACAACTCAGATTTTTCAACTTTTAACATCATAAATGCTGCATTCCAATATATGGTGAATTTTTATCAACACATTTCAGAAACGACATTGAAAGAAAGAATACGGAATGAACAGGAAAATAAAAGCGTCCACGGATTTACTTAGAGCCCATCCTGTAAAATTCAGTAAAACCCACCGGTTAAGTTGAAATAAATGCTTTCTATCAGAAAACTCCATTCATAAAAACAAATGAACAAATTCCAACTTTTCCCCAGCTCAACCCTGGAAAGTTAAGCAAAGTAAGCGAGTCTAAGGCCACTTGCGGGGGAAGGGTGGAGGGAGAAGGGCTAGGGAGCGCGCTCATGCTAAACTTCATGTGCAAACCGGCACAACGCGAGTGCCACCCACTTTTTGTTTCCTCCAAGTGCAAAGAGACGTGTAAATCTAGTAGATCTATATTTCCCCAAAATGCTGATTTAAAAACAAAAATAGTAACAAAAGGGAGGGATGTGGGAGAAAATGACAAGAGGTGGTGACTAATTCGTTTCGGTGGCCTGTTATCTGTGACATTGAACTGTTACTTCAGATAATAGCTATTGTTTGAGGAAAAATCGCACAGCAGTGGTAGGTAGGACAGGAAAAATCCTTTGTAAATAACCTAAAACCCGGTCAGATATTCCCATAGAGTTCGGCGCTTGAGAACCTTTAAGAGCCGCCGGTTTGCTGCCATTGATTTCCTGCCCTTCCTCAACTTGCCCATTGTCGGAGTCTTTTTTTTTTTTTTTTAATTTAGCCATAAATTGGACGGGCTCGAGCTATGAGCTGTTCTATTTTCTTCCTGTCAGGATGAGGGATTTGTTTTATGATGCATTGTGTATTAAATACAAGTAATCTGGGGAACCGATTGCTTCAGACAGTGCCGCCTAATCAGGGGGTCTGAGAGCTCAGCACCCCAACCTCTCCCGCCCCAGCCCAGGGGCCCCCACCTCCTTGCCCTTTACAAAGCTGCTCTACAAAGGAGGAAACGTCGGTGGATAAACAAACAAAAAGGTCGTGTGGAATCAGTAGTAGGTCCTGGCTAAACTAGGATTTCGTGGAAAGGGCCTCCGAGTTTTTTTCCCTTATATTGGGTTTGGGAGGGGGAGGCGGGGCGAATTTCAAGGTCTGGGTGTTTGCAGGTGCAGCAGGAGGCCGGTAGATGGCGTTGCGCCCCGAATTAAAGCGCTGCGCCGGCGGCTCCAGCCACCCAGGTGAACCGCCGCCGCCCGCCGTCGCCCGCCGGGCGCAGGCAGCCGGGCTTTGCCCTCCGCCTTGCGCGCTGTCCTGTGCCTTCCGGAGCGGGTGCACCCTGTAGTCCCGACCCGCAGACACAGGGCCGCTGTGAATCCGGGCTGAACTAAGGCTTTTTCTATGTATGAAGTTCTCTTCCCCAGATGTAGCCAAGAGTAACGTTTCCTCTCTGAGACCTTGGAAGATTTCTCTTCCAAGAGACATGGGAAACTATTTCGTATTAACATTATTTTACTAGTATCATCCTTGTCATCAGTTTTGTTACCTACTGAATAAATAGGCCGACTAAGGAAATCAGAGGGAATCGGCAAAGAGACTTAAAAACAGTAAATATCTCTCTTTCTCTCTTGCTTTCCCTCACCTCCTTTTCTACTTTGGTCATATAACAATAACTTCATGTAAAGGCAGAGGCACCCCTCTTTATCGTGGCGCACAACTTGAAGCTTGAAAAGAAGATCCTGAAACCCCAGAGTGGCTAGATAGGCCTTGTTTCTCTTGAAAGAAGCCTCTTGCTATTTCAATAATAACCTTTTAGGAGAAGACCCTGACCTACCTCCGCTCACCAGAAGTGAAACAGAAGAGAGAGCCGGCAGGAGGGAAAGGTTTTTGCAGGGGTCTTGCTTTTCTCCCTGGTTAGCTTGCTTTCCATTAGGTTTCTAAAACAATAAATAAATACAAGCAGCCAAATACCACCACCAGTTCCCTATATTCCTTGGGATTTCTGGTGAAATCTGTTTACAGTAGTTCCCAGTTACAAATTAATCTGCAATAGCCGCTGTCTGCTCAGCAGTAATCAGTAACATGCGTGTTCTGCAGTGTTTAGCGCTGCCCTTGAAATGGGCTATTAAAAATAATGGTTTTACTATAATCTCAAACCGGCTTTAATTTGCAAACATGTATCAGGACTAATGATCTAAATATTAAGGGGATGGAATGGGAGAACAAGCTATAATAAGGTACAGTTTTGGGGAAAGCAGAAACAAAGTGTTTCAAAAGAGAATCATATTTTTAAAAATTTCTCCAGAAGGATTTTTTTTTTTCTCCTGTCTCGTTCTGTTAATTCTTGTTTACCAGGAAAAAAGCATTGGAAAATAGGAGGTTTGAGTGTGAGCTGATAGATTTTCTAGGAGTGTAAAGATTCCCCTTTGGCTGACAGCAGGGCTGGGGTGGGAGAGGTTAATGTGTTTTCTTCCTGGTTTGAAAAGGGCATAAACCCTCCTCAGGCCCCTTCCTTCCTCCCCCAGCTGCGTGGATTGCAGAATCTTTAAAAGGCCCGAAGATTTCCAATAAGGCCACTGGCTCTGCCTTCATTGTGTAACAGTTTATTTAAAATAAGTCAGTATATTAGTTAAAGCAGTAAGAAGTTAGTGCTCCAGTATTCAAGTGATTCCCACAAGACTGTAAGCTGATGCCTCTTTTAAGCCTTAAACTTCATGGTCGTCCCAGAAGTAAAAGTTCTGCTAATGGAGACCCTATGGGCACGGTACATTCCAGCACATCATTAAAGGAAAGAAAAGCAGTCCAGCCAAAGCCAGATGAAATGACTGCACTGTCCACTTTTCATAAGCTTCCTGTGGACAAACAGCACGGTGACACTCTGCAGAGGACAATATTTAAAAACAAGACAACTTGCTGGCAGTTTTCAATACCATAAAGTTAATAAACTATGTTCCCATTCATCCTGACATTATGTTTTTAGTTTATAGAGGAGGGCACTTTATAACCTCAGTCTAAGCAGAGTGGCCTTAATTCTGCAGCTTTGGGTTTTTTGAGGTGGCTAAATACACACTGAACTCCAAGTATGACTTTTTTGTTTTAACACTGTCTTTTTGTAGCTTTTCAAGAACGTACAAGTGCATTTGAACATTTCTGGAGTGCAGTTTCATTCACGGAGATCCTGTTAAATCCCGTTTCATACAGTTCATGTCAAGAAGCATGAAATAATCTGAGAAATTGACATTTGGCTGAACAATAAATGCTTGCTAATTAAATTAGCTGCATGTATAGATATTGATGTGTGTTTAAAAAGAAAATCAATGCTTCCTTTACGTGTCAGAATAGGATTTTGTGAAATCTTACCTAACCTCACTGAGACAAAGATAAGAAAAAATTTAAGTATGTCTTTAGGATTCAAGAGACTTCCCACTGATTCTTATATAGATATTTCACCCAATACAGAGGCTCTAATTTGTCTCGCCTCCTCTTTCTCTCCAAATTCTCTACCACCCACAATTTCTTCTCCCAAATCTTTTGTCTTTAATAGAGTAAGCCTTGTAATGAAATAGACTCAAGAGAAGCTAGATTAGAAAACCATGGAATCAAAGGTAATAAACTCTGTTTAATTTTAATTACTTATATTTTTTTAAACAGGGGGCATATTCCATAAGCTGGGTTCCCTACACCTGAAGGGGAATTCGGAACGCTGGGCAGGCAGCCCCAGCAAAACAGGCTAACACAGAGCTGACAAGGAAAAAGGGCCCAAAAGTCCATAGTCACCAACGCGCATCACCACAGCTCAGGAGAGATATTTCTGGCCACTCTTGATGGACTCTGCCTTTAAAAAAAAAAAAAATTTTTTTTTTTTTTGTTTTGGGGGGAAGCTGTTAAAAAAGAAGAGAGGAAATTAAAGGTAAAAAAAAAATGTAAATAAAAAATTTCCCTTGGTCTGGAAATGGGCCCGACTGAAAGCATGTTAATCTCCACCTCAGTAATTTGGTTCTCCAGGAGAAGACAGAAGCCCTGCTGCTGTGCCCTGCACTTCATAAATCACATCTTTATGTGGACAAGGTCAGGGCACCTAACAGCTCAGACATGGGCCTTTGCAGTGGCTCGAGGATTCAGGCGTGTTTACTCTCCCGCTCGGCTCTCTGAGGGGTAGTCCAGCACGCTTCTAATTACTTTTGATTATTTTCATTTGCTGGGGTCAGTCTGGCTTGCCAGGACTGCTGGAGGGTTGATTTCCTACAAATCTTGATGTCTTTGTAGGACAGCACTGTGTGCGTTCAGAATTAGCACCCCGTTATTGTCCCTACAGCGTGGGATCCCTCGTAATAGATACTGGAATACAAAAGCTTCCCCAGTGAACCATTACTGACTTCCCTTCTTATTAATTAGCTACACAAGAATAATCACCTATCTAATCTTTCTTAAAAATGCAGAAAACCTTAACAGTTGAGTATTTTATAATACATTTGGCCAGAATGAAAGTGATTTTTTTTTTTCTTTGCT